CTCCGCTGTGGAGGAGAGGGAGGGTGTGATAGGTTGCTCATAAAAGTTGAGGTGCTCGAGCTGTCCACACCAGCGATCAACCTTGGCCGATTTGTCAGCAATAAAGCAGGCATTCACATCGCTTACAGAATCATTGAGTGACGGGGCCAATCACTAATTTGGCACTTAGAAAAGGTCCAGAGGCGGGCGAAAAAAATGGTCAGATATAATATGGGGCTCATAAACGTTTGCAGTGGATGTCGGTTATGCTGCACACTGCATAAACAACATTCACAAATGTATAGATACGATTCTATTCGAATGGACATTTCATGTTTTTAAAAACCTCACAAACAGAACCTTTTTGAAAACTAAAATGTAGCCTTTGTTTGAGCACAAGATGTGAAGATGTGATTGGCTACATAATAAGTACAAGAAATAATATTCTTGTGCATTTTCTATGTATATATATTTTCTTTTTTGAAGTCAGATGCGTTCACTGCGTGAATTTTTGAGACTGGAGGCCCAGTTCATCTACAGACGCAGAGTAAAGCAAACTTGCCAAAAAGCAGCTAACATCGAGAGTGCGGGAGGAAATCGATAATGGCGTGGTGTGGAGCTTGCGCCAGCTGGCCGTTGCCATGTCTCAATGAGAAATGCCTCAGCCGACAAAGCAACGAGCCCGTGGTGTAATTGTAGAGTGGTAAACTCCATGACCAAGGCCCCTGGGTTCGAATATCGGGGGTCCCTAACCTTGAGATTGGGTATGGCTCGCTGATGACGGCTAACAAGCCAGGAATAGCCATTCCAGTCTCCTTCCACAGCTGCCGGGATAGAATATCAGCCTAACACAGAAAGTAGACTGCATGTAGCTTGTGAACCGCATGCAAAAGTGAAACTGCAGGTCGCATTCAAACATTCGGGAAGAGGAAGCGGTGGTGTTATAAGTAGGTAATTTGCTTATGGCGAAGCAGACTTACGCTGCAGCTACCGCACCCTTTTTATTGCACCCACCATGTATTCTGATGACAGAAAAAACTTAATACGACTGATGAGAAAGGTAACACAAAGGCCGTTAAGACTAAGTAATCTGCTTACGCATACCACACGGGATTTGATCCGCAACTTCACGCAAACTAAGCTTCAATAAATAAGCAAGTGCTGTATGACCTCCGACCCTGAATAGGACGGAGCTATCCTGTCAGCTGACAACGAACCTAGCTGCGACTGCTAGGTTCTCGTTACCGTTTAGAAGCACGGTTATATGATCCAATTACAGCGACTAACCGCTGAACTGCTACTATTTCGACCGTTCTCTCCCTCCCTTTTCCCTTTTCCATATGCCATTAGTTCGTCCCAGTTAAACTGAACGGGGAAAATAGTGGCCGAAGTGATTGACGTGATGTAACATTGACGTCTACCACGTGCCACACTACAGTTTGGCTGTCGCTACCGATGATGCCCACTGTGTGCCTCACAATAACCCCATAATACATTATATAAGTCAACTGCACTGAAATATAAAGAGTGAAAAGTGGGGAAATGCGCTAACATGATACAGAGGCTTTCTACTGAGTAGGCCAAAGCCTAGGGCTTCTGATTCGGGACGATGACAGGGTCGGTTGCGAACGTTCTGTGCGTCCGGGGCGCAGGCATTCAGACGAAGATCAATGAAGAAGAGGTAGTTCTGTGAGTCTGCGGCCGGTAAACAACAGGTCATCAGGTCGGGCACCTAGCAGAGATGGCAAAAAAAGAGTTCAAAGAGCGGAGGTGTGTCCAGGAACCGCTAAGAAATGGAAAAAAGTTAATTGCGGTTCAGTCATTAGGCTATAAGATGCCTGCCAATTACTTCAAGCGGTTTATCGGTAATGCTTTTCGAAAGAAATGGACAACAGCTGAAAGTTCGTAACAAACAAACCAACCATGAAAGAGGAGCGGTGACCTGTGCAGCACCAACCTTACTTTTTCTCTCTGCCCCCAAAGTGCTTCAACGAAAACACAGGGCCAAAACGACTGCAGATGGACCTAAATACAGGGGTTAACTGGATACCCACCAGCGTCTACGTGTGTCACACGTATTGCAACCTTGTTTTGTACAAATTCAAACTCGGTAAATCCTATCCAACAAATTTGAGCGCGGCCACCAAACCGGGCTAGGAAGCTATTGCAACCTGACACTGGTCGTACGACAAACGTTTAAGCCACAGCTTCTACAGTGCCGTAAAAGTTCAAAAGTACATCCGGCTCCCAACGTTTCTCTAACCTCGTTAGATATGAGATGGGAAAGTTGACTGCCGCATGGCCAGCCCCGCGCTCTAAATTTACTCTCAGATACTCTGGTGCAGGGGTCGGGAACGTATGGCCCGCGAGCCAGGTGCGGCTCTTTTCATGATTGCATCTGGCTCTCTCAGATAAAATTGGAATAAGAAACTTCAGATTTTGTGATCTTTATTCCTCCAGTGAATAAATCCAGAGGCTTATAATATTCACATTTAAGTGAAATCAATCTTAAAATATATTACATATCTCTCACTGAAATATATTTCCAAATATTTGATCTCTTGGATCTCTGAGTCAAAAAAGGTTCCCGACCTTTGCTCTAGTGTCAGGGGTGAAGTAGTCTTGCTGAGGCTGAAATAAGGGCAGGCATGTGCTCCGCCAACGCATGGGAATACAAAGGTTGGGTTCAGTGCGCCACAAAAAGGACATCGTAAGCTCAGTCTTGTCGGCAAAGGACTCTGCCTTGCAACCGGATTCACGTATGTAAGCAGCAATCCAAGGCAACTAGGGCGGAGGTGAAACATGTAAAGATGTGGGGCAACTAGGTCAATTTTTTTACACTGCCGCTAAATTTATTTTCAGTAGGGGGTTTGCCGTGCCAAAAGCGAAATTAATGTTAAAAAGTCACTTTGACTGCAGGCAGGACGGGTAGGGAGCCCGGAGGACAACTTTGGTCGGGAGGCCTTTTTCTACATTATTGGCGTAGGGATAACCTTTCTTTTTCGGCTTCCGCGCACCTTCGGCGTGGTTTACTTACTACCCTCAACCGATTCCGTTCTGCGACCTTCTACGGCCTTCTCCCGACTTTCTGCTTACCTTCGAGGAAGTGCCTTTGCACGTGCACGCTGTAGGATGACTTATTACTGCAGATGTCTGTAGACTGATGTCTTATCAATATCTTATTTCGAGTCAATCCTCTACACTCGCATATAGAAAGCCTTAGTTAACGGCGAATACTTATCCGCAATTTACACAGAAGTTAGAAAGGGAATTAGATTTGGAGATACAGGCACTTTTGAATGGTGCAAAACCATTCCAATTAATTATTAACGCGTTTAAAGAAACCGTCGCTTTTTAAGCTGCCGCAGATACTTCACCCATAACCCGCTATTACCACGATTCCTGTCTTATAGTAAGCCATCGACCTTACTTGTCCAACAAATCCACGTTTTAATTCCCCTGCCGACAATAGAGTATTTTAACTGGGTGAAAGTTGGATTATCGTCAGGCAGAGTTGTGCGGGATCGACCTCCTTTTTATTCTTCCCGTTACTAGCATGTTCTGCAGGGGATAATAAGTCAAAAGGAATGTAAAGGCATATCAGAAAGCATTGTTAACTCCGAAGCAAAAACGAAAAATATATCCTCACACAAATAAAAACACGTGTGGTTCGCTTGGCGTTAACATACACACACAAAAGACAGAGCACACACCTTCTTGTAGTAGTACTGCCGACGTCGGGATGAGCTATACATGGAATCAAGAGATGAATCACGGTCGGTACTAGAGCCTGTAGGGAGCGCCGACGTAGAACGAGGTGGAAGCTTCGGTAGAGAGATTAACACCTCGCGAGAGGATGGTTCGCCTCGAGTGTCGACTTCTTTGGCAAGCCGAAGAAGGCCGAGAGCGCGCATGGCCGTTGATATTTTTGCCAACTTTTTGCATGCCATCCACTTGCCCTGAAGAGAATTATTCGAAGGGAAAGGAATAAATGAACGGTATAGAGGGAGAATACGAGGATAAACAAGACGACGGACAACAGCCAAAAAGGCAGACGGAATAAGAACCATGATAGGAGGAGGTGGAGGTGGAGAAAGAGGATGACGAAGAATGTGGAAAGGAGCTGAGAGGAAGGGGAATTTATTGGACTCACTCTGATTTCTTTCTTCACAGGGGAGTTGATAGGCAGACGCAAACAACACTGGTAAAGTGTGGCGGTGTTTGCGTGGCCACTGACGGTGGCCTCATTTGCATCCTGTTCACAGAATTGGGCGTTTTTGCGCAGTGTTGGAGCAATTTCGTCAGCCTTTGCCTCCAATAGACGCCATCGGGGGGTGAGGCTGGTGAGAAAATCACTAGGCAGGCGGGCACAGTATTGATTGATGAGACTGATGGCCTTGGATGGGGCGCACTACAATAAAATGGAATACAGGTTCACGAACCTGCCTAGGAGAGGATGCAAAGTTGGGCTGAGGTAGGCATACCTGGAGAGGGGATGCATCAGCAGGCGTATTGCACTGCAGTGTTTTGAGCACAGCGGTAGACGACACACTGTGCTCGTTGCGAAAGAGGCGAAATCCACGGCACCGCTGAATAAGTAAGTCTTCCATTTGTTGATACCTGCAAGGTAAGAGAAAGTATGTCCACAGGTTTAAAATGAGCAGCAAGGAGTAAGAAAGCTAACTAAAACACGTCGAAGATTCGTGAAAGCCTGTAGGTCTGGAAATCATGCAATATGGCTTTAATGGCATCCTCACCTGCATTCAGTGACTGGTATCATGAAATTTTCAGCGAAATTCTGAAATTCGTTTGCGAATAGCAAAGGTTAATTAAGGTGGATTCTACTAATTAATTTATGTGCTTCGCCGATCTAGTCGAGGAAGAATTAAGTTCCGCTTTGCCCAGGAGCTCACAACGTGAACCCGCCAGACCGTCACAAAGTGACTAAGATGATAGGATGAAATGGATTCTACTATTTAATATCGTGCGGAATAATAACAAGAAACTTTCGGATATGTCAGGATGCCGGTCTCTGAATACAATTCTTTTGAGTCGCACGCACAAATCGCTACCGGTAAAAAATTACAACTAAATGGTCGGACATTTTCCGTTTGAGTTACGACGCCCTTTTAAATTCAAATATCTTTTATTTAAGGCATGCCCAAAAATATTATCTCTTATATTCAATTGATAGTATATTGCCTTTTTAAATTTTCTAACAACGGAAAGGGTATCCTGTATTTTTTTTAAAAAAGTTGGCAATTGTGATATTTTTTAAAACAGAGTAATGTGTTGAAGTGGAAACGACAAAGACAAGAGAGACTGAACTTGCCATTTCTGGCTTATTAGTCATCATCTGCTAGGCATACCCAATTCCAGATGTGAATCACCCGAGATTCGATCCGTAACCAGATCGGTGAGCACCCTTCGTCCAACAGTGCAATGTCCATGGAAATGACTTTGTGTCTATTCGTTTCTTCAGGATCCCCATGAAGTATGCAACTTGGTCCATATTAACTGCGAAAATTATGGAGTTCTGCATAGTATCTCCTTAGTGGTGTATGATTCTCCTTACCCGGAGAGAATACGGATTGTAGACTGAAAATCCTGAACGCAACTGTAACGGCAGATGCGACTCAAGATTATTGGGGATTTGAAAACTTTGCAAAAATTCCCATTGTAAATATCAGCAGATATATTGGTGAGCATGTGCTTTCTTTCGAAAAATTATCTTCAGGCCTGTACATTTATATGGTAATGAAATAAACAAACTATGCTGGTTGGTGGAAAGATGTAGTGTTGTTGTTGTCGGGATCGGTGGGGGTTATTTAGGTCAAAATGTCTGCTAGTATTGCTGACGAGCTTCTCGAATAACAGTTATTCGAGCATGACCGGGCCAATCGGACAAGACCGTCCTCCGATTGGAGCACGCACCAGCTGCTTCATTTATCGCTACTGAAAGGATTGACTTAGAAGGACAGCGAAATGAAATAGAGCTGACTAAATTACACATTCAAGAAATAGAAAGACATATCGATTTATAAAAATTGCACATTACAAATAAAGACAAGGAATTGAATGAATAAATCAAGATTTGTAAAAGAAGTCGACGACAACCTGGTAGTTCGGATGATAACAGTGAACCCGATGTACGCACTTCACAGTATCGTTCGGATTTACCAAAACGCGAAATTCGAAGACTTGACGGGAATTGGAAACTGTATGGTGCTTTCACAAAGAGTTTCAGTCGATCATTGAGAGAAAAACT